GATAGAATTATTTTGTTTTAAATTTATTTAAGTTAATATAAATAAAATAATGTATTAATGTTTAGGTACAACCTTTATATAATTGTTTTAGTAAAAAATATATGCTTTTTGGCGATTAATAAATACAAATTAAAATAAATATAATGATATAAGATATTCATCGATCAGAAATATAGGGAGAAATATTGTGCAGATGGGAACTCGCAAGCATATTAGTTGGATGGCTTAAATGTAACAACCAAAAATGTTCAAGCACTTTTAAGTCCTATTTCTTATACCTATTATATATATATGTGACATAAATATCATAAAATATAATATTGTCCCCCCGATCCACAGCTTATCCAGCCCACTACTGCTCATACTACGGCAACCTACACTCTCAATCACGATATCATATTATTAAAATTAAAGCACGTTACTACTTATTTCTAGTCACGTAACAATAATTTATACAAATAATAATGTATCAACCAAAAATTAGTGATATCCCAATAAAAACACTCCGCCAACTCCGTGTAAAAAAAAACGGCTCTAAAAGTTGTTATACCAATTTATAGTTAAGTATTTGAACTATAGATATAATTTATGTTTAAATAATATTGAACTTAGCTTGGTGACTAAGTTAAAAACTTCAAAATACTATTGCATAATGAGTACAAATAGTCGCTGTAGGTACTATCATTGAAAAAGGTATAGTGTATTACTAACCAAGTCTTTTAAAGTCGCTAAGCTAAATTAAATTATTTAGCAGATTATTTTAATGATATCTATAGGTAGTTGAACAGTTCAAAGACTTACCTATAAAATTATAATACAACTTTTAAAGCCATTTTTACTTACCTACATGGAGTTTGGCGGAGTGTTTTTGTTGCATGGATATATTGAAGATATATTGAATTTAAAATCACATCATCGTGTTAAGCATGTAAATATACATAATGATTATGAAAAACCAAATTCTGAAATACTATCGTAAGTTATTAAAATCATTAAGTAAATCAAACTACTTTAACACGTAAGACATGGGTTGCTGCTCA